GGTCAAAAGATCTTCCAGAGTAAAATTCTGCCAGATTTCAAATGCTGCTTTTTTTTTTTTTTTAAATCTAAAAATGAACCTGTATTTTTATAGACTGAGCTGGCCAAAATGGAAAAAAAAATGTCCTAAATCTAGAGATCTGTGTCCTGGCTCAGCCTGGAGAGTGGTGCCCTCGGCCAAGAGCCCAGAACTGAGGCTTTGGCTGCCAATCCCCAGCATCCCTACTGCCCCAGGAGCTGTGGTAGGGCAGAGGTCTCAAAGACAATTCCTTTTCCTGTCAGGATTTTTTGGTGGGTTTTTTTTTTTTTTTTTTTAGCAGGGAAGTGACCTCTGAGGTGCGGGAAAAATATAAAACTCTGGGATGTCCATTTTAAGGAAACCAGGCTGCTCACACCTATGTGATTACCCCTCTCCTCTTTACAGCCATGAGGGCACATGTGATCATTCCTGATGATCTTATTGTGCTGCAGCTGAAGGCTGGAGAGAGCAGCAGCTCTGGGAGATCCACATTCCACCTGAATCCAGCTCAGCTGACACAAACTTCCCTAAAGATGTGACAGCTCCAGTGCTCAAGCAAAGACACCAACCCTCCTGGCTTTGCCAGGTTTGTGGCACTTTAAGGTTAGACATGACTGATAACCTTGGCCAAAGCTTGGGGATGGATGGGGAGGCAGAGCATCCCCTGCTCTGGAATCAGGAGAATCAGGCACAGTGTGTGTGAGCCACACATGACACACTCCTGGAGTTCAGTTGAAGGACAGGGTGAGGATGAAAGGAAATGAGGCAAGGGCAGAAGAAGGAAGAGCAGCTCCAGCTCTGTGTGTTGTGGTGGCACACAGAAAGTGGCAGGTGAAGACCAGTGGCTCCAGCTCCCTCACCTGCCATAAAGACCCTCTGGTTTGCTCTGCTGAGGAACAAACTGGGAGCTGAAAGGGATCTGGGAACAATTCTTTGAGCCTCAGCATCAGCCAACCCACATCTAGAAAGGGTGAGAAAAGAGCAGCAATCCAAATTTAATTTGTCCCCATGAGGAGAGCAGAAAGGAACTGGAGTGTTGCCTTCAGCTGGAGCAGGGGCAGCCCAGGGCAGCACCATTAACAGATCCTGATCCCATCAACAGATTGTGATCCACACATGGATGCAGAGTGGTGGGGAGGCTCAGAGAGGTGCAGAAAGGAAGAGGACATGGCCATGGATACCCTGTTCCAGTTCATGGCAAAACTCCCCTGGAACATCAGTCCTGCACTTCTGCTAGGGATAAAGTGGAAGACGGGAAAGAACTAAATCCAGGGAGAAAGGACAAGCACCAGAGCAGCTCAAATCTCAGGGGGCTGGGGATAATTTTCCCTGCACAGGTCCCAGCTGGGATGTTTGCCAGGAGAGCAGCAGCAGCACCACATTCACTGTCCTACAGGACAAGGGCACACACAGTGTGATGTTGTTCAGCATTTTGCTCTCCTTTTGCTCCCTAAATTACAGATACTCTTCTCCCTCCCTAATTCCTGACACATTTGTTCCAGGCATCCATCCGTACCTACAATGACTAGCCATGCCAAAGGATTTTTGTTCATGCAAAGAAAAGGAAACTGTTTTATTCCACCTACAAATCTTCTTTGGCTCACAGCTATGGGACCGGGGGGTGAAATCCAGCGCCGGAGGAAGCCAGAGAGCAAAATCCTCACACTGCTCCTGTGCCAAGCTCTCTGCAGGATGGATTTGCTGCTGCTGAGAGATGCTCTATTCCCTGGCTTGGATATCCCACTTGGAGGAAGTGCTGTGGGGGAGTGAGCTTCCCAGAGGGGGGGGGGATGTTGGCAGAGGAGAGCAGGGATGGTGCTGTGCTCCTGGGTGGCACAGGGATGGGCACACACTGGTTGGAGGCACTGGGCTCCAGGAGGGTCCAGGCAAGGTCAGAGCATGTCCAAGGACAAGGAGCTCCATCCTGGTGTGATGGCCAGGGGAGAAGGGACCTGGGGAAGGGCTCGGAGCTGCAGCTGGATGGAGTGGGCAGAGTGGATTGGGGCTTCTCCACAAACAGTAAATTCATCAAAAACAAACAAGCAAAATACAAGTTTCAAGGGACAGAAAGAATTTGTGGCTTCAGGTCAAATTCAGCAAATATTTTTAGCCAGAAGAGGGAGGGTTTTAAACCACCATTTTTAAAGAAGATTTTTGTTCTGCAATTGTCTAGATGAGAAGTTGTCAGTTCCATCCCTGCAAGGACATCTCTATTTCACAGAGCAGCACAGTCACATAGGAAGGGTTAAGCAACTCAACCAAAAATCTGCCAGATTGGTCAGGATCACTTTGTTTCACTGAAATCCCCAACCATCACTGCTTCACTTTGACTGAAACATTTCTCCTCTTCCCCATGGGATGTTTTGGTTCAGCCACAGAACTGAAAAACCCATTATTAGGCTGGTTGTGATGTGAAGTTGTGCTGTGCACCCCAACCCACAGCCTGCCCAGCCCCTCAGCAGCCTCGAACAGCTCAGCAAGATTTTAAACAGCATGGCACAGCCAGTCCTTAATGTCCCTGCTGAGCTTTCCACAGGGAGCTGGTGGAGCTCTGGATGTGACAGGGACACTTATCTGCTCTGCAGCAACCACGTTATTGATTGTAATTGCTGGCTAGGGCTGGGCACAGAGCATTTTCTTAAACACTTAATCCTTCATGGCCTGGTATCAGCCTCTGCTTTGGCCCCCAGAATGTGTGTTTTAATGAGAAAAACTTTTCCTATGGTCTCCATTCCTACAAGTTGATGACCAGATTTTTCTTCCCACAGCACAAATCTCCTTCCACAAATGGCACGTGCATCCACCTAGAGCAGGAAAAGTTCCTCCCCACTCACTGCCAGCAGCACTCTGGAGCATCTCAGGAATAATGATGAGACAGCTCCAACCAAGCTGCAGTTGGAAAAACCTAGGGCAGTAGTTCTAGAACCTCCTCTACCCTATTTTGATCTTGGCTGTACAAACAAAACCAGCTTTTCAGTACTAGTCCTTAAATTTCCTGTCACCAAAGCAGTGGCCTGTCCATCCCTCTGTGCTCCTCACTTTGAAAGGAGTTTTACTTACTGATCCCCTCTGACAGCAATGAAATGAGTCTCAATGCCAAGACTGAGTTTAATCCAAACTTCACACTTCAGACAGCCTAGGATGGGACTCCTTGGCCTCTGTGTCCAGCTAGAAAGCATTTATGGGAATAAAGACGTTTGTGCAAATGGAATAAAAGGTTTGGCATAAGATGGGGGTGAGACAGTGATGCTGGGAAAGGATCCCAAAGCAAGGCAAAACTGCCCTGGGATGAACTGCCCTGGGATGAACTGCCCTCATGGAGAGTTGAGCAAACCTGCTCAAGACTAGGATTGGGAAAAAAAGAAAGAAAGTGAAGGAAATACTTGCTGTTTTGTCAGTTGGCAAAACCACTTCCCTTCTGCAACACATGAACAGTCCCCTCAGAGCATTTCTGATCTGCTGCTTCCCCTCGGATCTCAGTGGAGCAGAAACCCCTCACAACACTGAGTTTCTGCAGCTGCAGAAAACACTTGTGGTCTAAAGGCAGAGTTACAGCCATACCTGACAACTTGTGGTACAAAAAGACTTACAGCCCTGCCTGACAGGTTGTGGCCAGTGGTGTGATTAAGCTGACCCTTCAAAAATATCAGACCTGCTTCTGTAGCTGCTGCTGTGCAGCTTTGGGAAAGCCCCAAATGAACGAATGGAAGAGGCAGCAAAGCATTATCCAGAACCAGCATGGGTCTGTAAGCCCAGCTGGGTGGCTGGGAAGGTCAGAGCCAGGGCCAGGGATGCTGGCAGCAACCTGCCCAGCTCTGCCTGCTCCCTGCTCTGCCTGCTCCCTGCTCTGCCTGCTCCCTGCTCTGCCCTGCTCCCTGCTCTGCCCTGCTCTGCCTTACTCCCTGCTCTGCCCTGCTCTACCTGCTCCCTGCTCTGCCCTGCTCCCTGCTCTGCCCCTGCTGCAGCTACATCCCCTGGAATTTCCACACGCCGTGTGCTGATGACACACACAGACACACATTTCCACTACTAGTTTTGATCATCTGCCCGATGACTAATTAACATTTGCCCAGTGTATTGCTCTCTGATGCAAGGTGCCAAAATGAAGAGGTTTTTTTTTAAGTCACTTCGGGTTGAATTCATTGCTCGTGCAAGGGAGATGCTTGAGATGAGCAGAATCCAGGAAAGCTGTGGCTTACAGAGTTCAGCTGAGGTCCCTACACCACATCTGACCTGCTTCCCCACAGCCTCTGCTCCTGAGCAGTCCCTGGAGCCTCCCTGGACTCTCCAGGGGGGATCCAGTGATGTCTTATTCTCAGAGAGGACAACTGAGAAATGAAGGACACAGAGTTCACACTCAGGTCATTTATAATGCAAAGCTTGGGTTTGCTGCACTTAAGCTTGAGGAAGTTGCTGCACCTCACTGGGGAGGTGCCTGTAAGTTATATTCCATACAGTTTTCCCTGTTATATTGCAGCATCTCATGAATCAGAAAGAAACTAACTCATGTCTTTGGTACTGCGCTTGGATGAAAGTCTAAACCGTAAAATTCTGAAATCTGACATCTGAATTCTTTCTTCTTTCACAGCAGGAAGTAGGAGAAAGAGTGACTGTTGCTGTATTTAATTACCTGGGAGATGCCCAGACATCACAATAACAGGGGCTGTATAAATACCTACATAGATTAGCTACAACCATCCCAAACACACCACTATATCACTGCATGCCTCCCCCAAGAAGCCACTGACCCTCCCAAGACAAAAATCCTCAAGAAACAGAGCTCACAGGTATAGTTTGAAGAAAGAGGTGGGATACTCCTGCAGCGAGTGCAAAAAACTCACTGATATTTTCATCATCACCTGTAAGCAGCAAAATTCTTAGGGCAACACTAAAGACTAGAAGTTCCTGTACATTAAGACCAGGAAAATCATAGCCTGGGATGTCAGGGAATGTGACTACCTGAGTTCAGTGCAGTCTCTTACCTGAGTGGGATCTTAATAGCCAGGTACCTGTCGATGGCCACGGCCAGCAAGCTGAAAATGGAGCTTTGGGTCAGCACCAGCACGAAGCAGGCGAAGAAGAGGCAGCTGTGAAAATCCACCCGGAATCCAATGCTGATGGTGATGGCAAAGGGGATAGCCAACAAACCCACAGCAATATCAGCCACTGCCAGAGACACCAGGAAATAATTGGTTGCGTTCTTCAAGGTACTGTTGATGGCCACAGCCCAACAAACCAGGACGTTCCCAGCGATGGACAAGACAGCAATGATCAGCTCCAGCACGATGTAGGTAGTTTTCATAGTGTCCATGGCGAGAAGAGCTCAGAGCAAGGAGCTGCTCATGGGAAGAAGGCACTTTCCACAGGTCCCAACAAATCACAGGTCAACCAAACACCCATCTCCAAGCTTGGGGGGCCAGAGGACCACAGCAAGCTTCGGCTCGTGGCCCCCCTACTGCTTTACCCATTCCCTTCATCCCCATCTAAAGCCCTGCAGGGCTTTTTTTACCATCCACACCCTTTTCTACCCACACTCTCCTTGGGATCATCCGGGATGGGATGGTCCTCGGAGGATGCTCCTCCCGGGGATGCTGCTCCTCTGCTCGCTCAGCGCAGAAAAGCTGCTGCCGCGGGCGCTCGGGCTATTTCTGCACATGGGACGAGCGGGGCGGGGAGTACAAGGAGCTGAGCTATTGGCCGGGATGTTGTAGGATAGGGACGGCGCCCTCACATCGTCTG